TGGCATTTCATTGGACGGCCGTTTAAAACTCGGTATATGATGTAAGAAAGCTTTCAAACCTACGTGTTATGCACATTTTATAGAGGAATTCACACGATTCTTATGCTAAACGCAAAATTTATTTACAAATCGTAGAGCTAAATCCGATGCCGACAAATATTAGCATTTCAATTAGTTTCAATTCCGAACAAAGTAAGTAGGATACATAGCTACTTACCCTCAATTTCAATAGAGAAAATTAATAAATATTTTTTTATGAGGTAAAGAAGCCTTTAATATTTTTAAAGATGATACCTATTTAAATTCTAATTAAGTAGGTACTGCTGATGTCCTTTAATAGGATAAGAGCGTTTAGAACCAACATGTCAATTTCATTGTAAGGTTGGAACTTACGTTTGGAATGTTGGCTGTATTACCTAATATTCCTCACGATTGGTAGGTACACGAATATGAACTTGGAAATCTTAGGAATGCGTCATGTGAACTTTGTAGCCTGGTAGGTATGTATAACTACTATTTATTCGGTAGGTACTTATAGAGTCACATTTTACCCATGTTACACATAAGTACCTAGTACTGGTAGAACTATACAACGGCATATAAAATATATGTATAAGACTACTCTCACCTCTCGTCCCCACCGCTGCAACTCCTGTGTAGCCAAGACCTACAGCTTGACTTGTGGCTTGACCGCCAATAAAAACCCAACCAGTGAAGGTCAAGTTTGTTCGGGGAAAAGTTAAACTGTCATTGGACCCACAACGAAATTAAATAAAATGTGTATGGTAGAAAGGCTGTGATTCATAACTCTAAACACAGAAACTTAATAATTAGCCGTAATATCAGACACGTGTCAAATTTTCCACAATAAAAATAGCCGCTCTTAACCAATTATCTGGGTTTAAACTAGACACAAATCAAAACTGTACCCTCGCCCATACATCACGCGGACAACGTTAACAGACGATTATAACCGCGTTCGTAAATAACGGGCGTTAAACTCGCGTTAATATTAGGGTTAACATCTGGTGGATTAACTGGTCCTGTTTGGACTTTTTACTTTCGCTTCGGTGGGGAAAGGTGAATCGAAGAATGATCGTGAAGTTAATTAGGTATTATTTATTTGTTTAATCTTTAATGTCAAATAAAAAATAAATAAATAATGCGGGCAGCGCAGGACCGTGCATTGTGGAAAACCTTGGAGGAGGCCTTTGTCCAGCAGTGGACGTCATTTGGCTGAAACGAACGAACGAACGAAAAAATAAAATGTTACATAGTTAAGGTGAACTTAATGTCATCATTAGACTAGATCACATAATGCTAAGTCTAAACTGAATCGAGGATATACATAGGTGTATTTGCAAAGGCAAGATATTTCAAAAATCAAGTTTCAAAGACGTTTTTACCTAGAAATAGAATAAAATATTGTTTATTTGACACACAATAGAAGTAAAATACTTCCAATCGTGCTTCCACAGCCTTCAACAATCGCTTATCTACCCTACAATATTTTTATAATGTAGAACAGAAGTTATAAGTCGTATTGAAACAATTTAAATTAGTTCCAGAGATTAGCAAACATAAGTACCTATTTGCATAGTAAACTAACCAATATTTACGCGTTCATACCTACCTCGTAGATAATTCCATGTTGACAAGATTAAATTGCGGAAGCGTCGAACCAACTTAATTATACGACTTGATTTGTCTATTTACTTATCTAAATTAAGCCACTATCTAATGCTATCCGAGCTGTGTTTATTCATAAATAAATACCCGTCAATCGTTAATGAATAATAAAAAAATGATAACCCATTCTGGCCGGTCAATGAAATCGTTATGGACTCGGTTATTATACCAATTAATGATATCAACATGTAATATTATAAAGAGGAAAACTTTGTTTGTTTGTTTGTTTGTTTGTTTAGTTGTAATGGATAGGCTCAAAAACTACTGGACCGATTTTAAAAATTCTTTTACCATTCGAAAGCTACATAACTCACGAGTAACATAGGCTTAATTTTATTTTGAAAAAAAAATAGGGTCCCGTAAAATATTTGGGATTTTCATAAGACGTGGAAAAGCGCCATCTATCGTCATTGGTTAAAATCTTCTTGCGCCTGACAAACATTTTTGAGGTACGTAAATATTCATGAAGGCAAAGCTGTCGAACGCCATCTATCGACATCATTAGTAAATTAGTAACTAAATATTACATGTACTATGAATAGCGCTGTTCGTAAAATAATATTGAAAATTTAATAAATAAATATATTTTATGTAACTAGAGCATTCACTGTATGTACCTATTTGAATGTTTAAACGAGCAAATCAAAGTGTTAATTAGTGACTTTTTACAAACTTCCTTGCAAATTCTTACTATGTGCCGCCATCTACCGAGATGAATATTAGGGTACGGTTCAGCGGCGGACAAATGGGATGGGCGCGTGGGCGATTGTAGTTAAATAGGATAAGAATTACTTCGTTTTTATTTTCTGTATGTAATTTGTTAATTTTTTGNATAAAGATTGGATATCATATGTTTTTCTGGACGACCATGAGTTAAGTATTTATTTTTTCAAACACTCACGAACTAAATCAATTGGATTTGATACCGATCTCAAATTAAACTATTGAATAACCTGCACCGCACTCACAGCTTTCTCCATGTCCAAAGGTTGACTGGAGTAGAATGATTTTAAGATTAAGTCCGCCTTTTGTGCTTAATTTGTGCAGTAAAATATTTAATTTAAGTAAATAAAAAATATACTATCGGGGACTATCGTCACCTTAAACTAACTACTTACTAACTATTGTAGAATATTTAGTAATGTACCTACGATACAAGATTTGCAACACCCTTACAGGGTCATAAGTTGAGACTAAGTTTAAGATCACCACCTATGTACACTTATGAAGCAATAAATAAATGATTATGATTATGATTATAAACAATTGAGGTTACATACAGACTCTTCTGTCAAACTTTATGAACCTTAACTGCTTGATTCCCTTATATCTTTACAAGTACCATTACCTACTTCCTTAGCCTGCCTCCTAAATTAATATGCATGATTATATTGATATTTATAATACTATAATAATAATAACATTAAAATTTAATTTGTATGTATCCGGATTATTGTATAATATTTTGTTCTCTCCTTTACTTTCCTGATCCTTTGCAACCTTTTTTTTTCCGTTTTCCATTTTTTTACTTTCCTATACGTTTCCCTAACTTTACCTTACCTCGTCGTGGCTACTGACGCACAAGCCGTGCATGCCATCATAGAAAAAAAACTGCTTGATATGACTCAGACGGCTTAACGTCTTCTCCGAAGTACGGAACCATGTTATCTTATTCTCGGACAGTCGGATATGAGCCAGTAGCATAATCAAACTGCAAAAATATGCATGAGTAGGTATTAAATCAATATTTATTTAACAGCTCTCACTGCAGATTTCACGGCAGAAATCAACAATACATCAAAATAATTTGAATTGCATCTCCTTCGCGCTCTACTTAGATTATTTATGAATACACGTATGAAATTAGAAACGTTATAATTATCATAAAATATTTCAGCACCGAAAAAAGTCGATGAATTATTTGTTTATACCCTTAGATTAATAATCTAAGTTTATACCTACTATTTTAGGCATTTCTAAATTGATTGTCCTGTTTTTTATTCTACTTTTACGTCTGGCCATAACTTGCGAAATGTCTGTGAACTAGCGTTTTGACGTTCCTCTATAAAAGAAAGCTGAATATCTTTTCCTGATAATTCCAATTCCAATCAGAATCCATGTCTTACAAAGAGCAAACATTTATGGGAAAAATTAACACCTAGAGAAACCTATATCTAATCTGGTTTGAAAGCTAAACCTGCGCCCACACATCGGCACGAAAAAAAAGATTCCTCAGTTTACGCTACCGAAAATACCCGTATCAATCTATAATTGATAGGAAGGCACTCAGCATAGACAATAAATCACGCTTATCTGTGCCTATCGCCTATTGTTTATGGTCGCTCGTATCATCCGTCATATCGGGCAAGACCGCGGTATTCAGCCTACTCGCGCACTTAATTGTTTATTTATGGGCTAATATAATTTTATTTACTGCCATATTATTGTTATACGAGATAGAAATAAACGTTACATCATCACACCTAAAGACAGATTTTATTGTGCAACGTAGGGGGGATGTGGCAACTTCGGTTTTCTTTTCATAAAGATTGAGTCATCGAAATATTTCTACCGAAATTTTTTTTAAAGGAACTTAGGTCATAAAATGCCTTAAATATTGCATAATTATAAAATTAATACTTAAGGCATCTACCTTAGCTTTTAAATCAAATTATTCGTAGACATAAAAACATCTAAATCTAAAACTCGAATAAAGTTACCCAATATTTTCCATTTAATTGTTAATCTATTCTCTTTTGATGAGTATCAGAGCCTCCTTATAGCCCTTCCATTTCAAACGCTTTCCTTTATGTTCTCCCATCGAAGAAATTGAGGCCGTGAAAATGACTCTAATCCGCGATCGCCGATACGAGCCGGCGCACATTTAATCGACTCCTCTGATTACACACCCAATCCCAGATTTAATAGAATTTTTACATTTACCCGCTTTGCGCCCGCCTTGACGCGAATTTCTTCGATTCCGCCAAGAAATGCAATGTACACATTAATTTCCGTCACGTTTAACGACAAATAGAGGTGGAAATTTAAAATGCGAAAGTGGATTCGTAAATTGATTCCGGACTCCGGCCGTCGAAGGAATCGGAGAGTAAACGTTTGAGGGGGAATAATTTGAAAACGTTTTCCTAATTTATAAGGAGGCGGGGGGATTCTACGCGGTAATTATTTTTGCTCAAAAAGCTTCACGCAGAGGTAAAGTAGACGCGTGCTGCCATCTAGCGGAACGAAGGCGGCGAACGCCGTCTGCGCGAGTACCGATCCCCCGACCCCGCGCGGGGAGAGCGTTCGCTCGCGCCAGTGCGCTTCGTTCGTTCATTCACTCAGTCCGTCTCCGCGAGCCGTGGTGAGTGCACGTGCGTTCGACAGGATTGTGTACGAAACGCCGATATTATTATTGCAAACATTCGCTCAGCTGATCAGTGAACAATATAACCCTATTCGGTTACAAATCCAACCCAATACTCGTTTGTGGCGATCTTGTGCTCGCGTGTGTTGACCAAAACCGGCCGACTATCGAAAATATCTCCAGTCGAATGTAAAAATATAGCGTCACAAGAAACGTTCCGCGTGTGACTGATCGATATTTTAAATGATAACATGGATTCAATTAGGTGTTGTTTAAGAAGACGGTGAGATACAGTGCCAAGTTTGTTTTGTGGTGTGGATTCGCTGGTTGCTTCCGACGGTGAGTACTTGCACATAACCTATGTCTATCGATTCGAGTGTAGATTTGCGTGCGTTGAGTGAGATAAGCGGATTGGATTTGTTTTGAGCGATAACAGTGCAAATGTGGGTACTGAGACGTGTCAAATAGCTGGGTGGGTGCATCGCGATTTGAGTCATATCGTACGAAGCCGGCCGCGGGCCCGGTACAGTCGCGGTCGCGCGCGGCATTCGCACCTGTCTGAATAATTTTGCGTTTGCAAAAACATTAAAATCATAGGCAGGTAACAAAACTTAGTATTTTATAAGAAGGAAATTAATTACTGAAATGCCATTTCAATTTGAGTAATGCATCGCGTTTTAATTCCCGTCAACATTAATATTATTTTATCAGCTGCCTGACTGCATATCAAGATAATTTAAAACATTCAGTAGATAATGTAAATAAACAAAATAGGTACCTACGGTCATGGTACGGTAAAGTGAACATTTTAAACGTGTTTTGTTTATTCTTGGGATCTAAAGAACCTCCTTTTGTTGAAGTCGGTTAATTAGGAGCCTTTGTTATTTCCTAATCCCTACATTAGGTAATAGAACCAACCTAAATAATCAAATTATGACTCAAGGAGCCTTCCTATAGTTAAAATAATTAATCTAAAATAATACCTTACCTACCTGCCATTTAGAAGACTCATAGAAGTTCACCCGAAAAGATCCCATATGTTATTGGCTTTGTAAAATGATTTATCATCTATTGTGCTATTAATTTTGCACTCGCAAACGTAACAGATTAGCACGATTTGTTCAACGTAAACGTCAATTAAATACCTTCTAAACATAGTGAATAGATTAAAGAAACAGCATGTATCGTGGTGTATCTTAACACTCTCGCACTAATCCTGTAATGAACCAGAGTAAATCGCCTTAATCAGCCGTTAAAGTAAGCTTAATCCTTCGCGTTCTTTACTAAGGTTAGCGTAAAACGTTATGTAGGGTAATTNCTAAAATGACATATGATACATATGAGTTAAGGGTATTTTAAGATATTCATTTCGCATCACAAAGTTGGTAACTCCGATAATTGGACGAAAACTAACGCACTTACCCTAAATATCGGCCGCTAGCGGCAGCATCGTCCAGACGTGGTAGGTTATTCCACCGCCGATCAAGGATGCCGATTGGAAAGAAAAACAAAAGTTTTTGGCCAATAACCGCGCCAGCGCCCTACATCTTCGAAGTGATAACTAATGACCTCTAGGAATAACAATTGCGTTCCTTGTTCTTATGAGGAATTAGATATTAAACCGTAATAAGGTAGGTAGGCACATAGAAAGAGATAGTAAACACCATTGACCAATAATACTAATTATGTAAATAAAAACATCTAATTTTATCTCCGAAAAACCTAGGTACCTATTAGGTACCTACCTATTCATTTTCACAAATAGGAATTCTAAAATTAGATCCGAAGTTACACCATCACTATCATCATTCAGTCAATGGCAGCACTGCTAAATGTAAGCAAGAAATTGCGGAAAGACTGATCATCTATCAACCGCTATTTTTCATCCAACCAGATCATTGTCAACTACCATCTTAATATTAGGTCGTCAGCCACCCAATTATACTCAGATCCTCTAAATCAAAAATCATGTTTGTTGATCGACAACCCATCAATTTCCTCGATATCCAGATTGGAACCACCAGGATTGGTCCATCGATCGTTTTCCAATCAATCTGGTGTGCCACCCCTATTGCCGATGCACTTTCTCATTTGCAAGTTGAAAATAGCTCGAACGGACGCCACCGCCTGAGTCATGGCATGGCCGTATTTACGACCGAGCCATCTTCCGCCGAAGGGCCAGCGCTAAGTGTCGCGAATCTATTCCCGACACCATGTGTGCGCCATTTTAATTTTATCTTTACAGTCTATGGATTGACAAACGACCACAGCCCGCTGAAATGTTTAGAACCCGCCTAATCGACTTTTTATGTTCGAAACGTTCGCAAACGAGCGCACTATTAATCTAGATTCAATTTTAACTCTAGTATAATACATAAAACGTTCATAATTTCGTAACTCAGCCGTACATTACTCACGGAAACTAAGCCCCGAGTTGTTTACAATAATCATTACATCGCCCATCGGATCGCTTGTGTTGGGAGCGTGGGCGCTGCTGGAAACACCTCATAAAGCAGTCTCATCGCCCTGAACAGCGTAAACACTCCTAAAAAACTCTATACAACCGTTAAACACTGTTTCACATTTTGTAACACCTTCTAATTACAGGTAAAACGCATTAAATATAATTAGTGCTTATTTGAACGGATATAAAGTCGAGGTGCGAGTTCGATGCCCTGCGCAAACAGTGGGTCATACGCAGCCTCGCCAACAAAGCGTGTTTGTTCCAGCATGAGGGCCCACAAATTTGAGCCTGCATTAATTACTTTGGGATTACACAGATTATTTGTATAGCTCGCTTTCCCGCGCTTTATTTCACGCATTCACTAAGCATGACTTGGATTAACCTTACTTCTTGCAAATTCATTAATTGCCAATTTTCCTTTGAGATTGACTTTAATTGGCATATTACCATAATTTTTCGAGTACTCAAGAGCTTTTTATAAGCGTTATTTCCTTCATAACCCTATTAGTGATAAGATAAATCAATCACGCCTGCGTGTAGGCCAAAACATTTACTAGTTATTATGATTATACCTATCGTTTCAAAGAACTAACTTAGGAAACATTTTACCTAATTATACCAGATTGTTTCAAACTCATGATGACTCTAAAACAGCTTGTCTTCATCCCTTTGGCGTAAGCTTCCTCGGCGGAGCGTAGTTTAGTTATTTAGATCAGACTTAACTCTTGTAAGTTTACGTTAAACAGTTTTGTCGGAAACCTAAATTGTCTGGGATACTGTGGCGGGAAGAGCCTCGATGCGGGCAGCGCAGGACCGTTCATTGTGGAAAACCTTGGGTAAGGCCTTTGTCCAGCAGTGGACGTCATTTGGCTGAAACGAACTAACTGTGGCAATTCCTAGCTCTTGCTTTACTGACAGTGCAGTTATTCCTGTTTTTGAGATCCCCAAGGTGCCAGGGTTCCGTATTACCGATATATTAAAGACGCGCGCGCCCGCTGGGCTACCGGGCGCGCCATTTATCAAATGTATTTATGTATGCAGCGGCCCACCCATCGTCTCGGGCCCTTAAATGGCTTTTTAACGTTCCTTGCTCAAGGATATGTTAGCTGGCAAACTGTTATTGTTAATTTAATAATAACAGAATGTAGAGCACTTAGCTGCGGGCCGTGTTCCGTTGAGCTTTTGAGATTAATATCTGTTCTGGATCTGGTTATCAATTTACGGAATAAGATTGATTACAGCCAATTTGCAAAATCTGTTTCCAAATCAAAGCAAGTGTTTGGGAGTTATTAGAACTAAAATAGATAATTGGGCCATCACAAGTCATCCATCACCCAGTGTGCTAAATGTCACGTAAATCTACGTCATTTTCACCGAATCACTTTTCTTCCTCATTAGCATGATAATTTTTGTGTAATTACCCATTTTGATCCGATTACTTGTGTACGTTGTCAAAAAAGATATTTCTACTGTATTAAACTAAATCCATTCCATTAATCCGCTGATAAAATGGGTGGCTGAACAACAGTTTTGTAACAATTTTAACGTAAAAGCTTATCTCGGATGAAATCGGGCGTTTTCCCCGTTCTCAAAGATAAACTGTATTACAAATAACGTTAATGGTAAAGGGATTCATAATATAATCTTACGATATTTGAGCGTGGCTTATTCTCCTGATCTGATCTAAAGTGCTGGCGAGTGAATCGAACAGAGGTCTTTTCACGCCGAGCTACTCGCGATAACACTCGTTATTATTAGACAAGTGCTCGTTAGAACATCACTACACACGTGTTCCGTACATTACACAATGGATGTTTATTAAATATTTGACTTGTTAATTTGTGATACGACAATGAGTGGTTGGTTAAACAACTCCGCCGTATTTAATATTTAAATTCCTGTACTGCTGTGTTATAGCAGAGTTATTTTCATAACAGGATTAACTGGTAAGCCGGCCTTAGATAATCTTAATGTAATTGTTCTAGAATAGAACCTTATTAAGTTGTTGGAATATTGCACTTATTTTAGGCTTATCATTGCTAAGTAAAGAGTACAAGGTAACACGCACTTACTTATTTGGATGATGTAGATACCTACAAAAATCACTTTTTATCTAGACATTTATTGATGTATGTTGTGATTAACGTTGAATTACCAGTGGTAATCCTCGGATTAAGGTTTCGTAGAAAAAAAACCGTCTCAAAGAAGCCCGATACTGTTCGATCATACCATTCTTGTGACGTCACTATCAATGACTGATATTGTTTATTATACTGCTTTTATTATAAAAATAGGGACGCTGATATTGTTGCTAGTCACTATGGATGCACAATTAAAAGTCAAACATTGATTTGGCTGACAATTTTTATTGCGTACTTGATACCTTATCGTTTATCACGGCGTGCTAACCAAACACTTATATTTGCCTGGGTTATTACTAAAAAGGGGGAATGTCATTATATGCGGATCATAAAATTTATAGCCCAATGATTTATAGAATACAAGTGTCCGGTTTATTGTTTGCACACCGGAATTTGCGGCCGCTCTGGGTGTTGTTAACCCTCAACTACACAGTGACGTGTGGACTGGTCGAAGTTGCAAGGAGTTTGTGAAGTAGCACTTTTATACATTGTGACATATTTTGGTGGCATCGTTATCGCGCGATAGCAGCAATATCAATAAATCATCGGGGCGATAACTGTTAATTAAACAGCTTGATCGATCGGCCACGGTAACGGTATGGCGCGACTGGCCAGCGTTTTTACACGCCCGATAAAAAAGGAAGATGTTTGTATTTTAACGGAATATCTTTAACTTTGCCTGAATTTTACTGCCCATTCTAGCAATATCCGATCCCCAAATAGAGATTTTTTTT